CCGGACACAAGACTGCTGAAAACGTGAGATAGTGTGCTTTTTAAAATTTCCCGTTCATTGCAAAGGACGGCTATCAGTATATCCCCTGCCTTAAATCGGCAATAGCAAAATAACTCGATTTGATCTGCCATTGTTTTACGGTGCAAGGTTTGAGATGGGTTTCGAAATGTGGTGGATTAGGGGGGGGTTGATTTCCGCCTTTATATAGAACATAGAGGTTTTTCATGTATGCATAAGTCGATGTATAATGGTAAAATTAACAAAGCAAGTCAAATCAAGTCAAGTCAAGTCAAGTCGAGTCGAGTCAAAGAGTGATTCATTCGACAAAATGAATGGTGAATTGTGACGTAATGTTAGCAAAGGAAGGTAAGGATGTACACCTTTGTAAATTTCTCCCCACCATACAAACTCTTCAAAACCCTCTGAAGAGGATTCAGTAAAATAAATAATAATAAAACTGCTGATATCAGTCACTGTTCAAAGGAAGAGAAGATATGCAATAACTTTGATGTCAATATCAATTGGTTTCTGAAGCGGCAATTCATCAAAACAGAATATTATATGATATTCCAAGTCAATCGATTACCCTAGTGAAAAAGGCAGTTAAATGTGAATTTTGAGGCAGCGGCAGACGAAGTTTATAAGAAGGCAATAATAATGGATGAAATTTGTTGTAAAATAAATTTTATTCAAGCAAACAAGGGTTTTCAATGCACAAACGATATTCAACACGAGAAGACAATCAATGAAGCAATTCAAAATTGGAGTCCAAACTTTAATTGCTGGCTGTGACAGTCGTTGCAGTAGTATTCTCAGGCTTGGGAGGCCATTTTCCTTCTTTTATCAATCTTTTCTTTTCTCGTTTAATCTTTTCCTGTCTTATGCTCTGAAAAATAAATCCAAACGAACAAGGATGTTAAAACCAAAACATATTTGGCATGGTAGTTACAGGGACAGAGAAAGTGGGGGCACGATTCAAAGGGCTAAAGCCCCAAACGATTCCCAAAATGAACTTTAAACCATAATAAAACCACCACGTACTTGGCATATATCATGTTCGCCCCCCGAAAAAACACCTTAGTTAGCCCCGACTCTCCAGTATGTAATACGATTTGTGGTTTCCAGGTAGTGATAAGCACAAAGTGCTTCTCATATCCAAATTAATGGAAATTTTCGCCCCCCCTCCTGTTTCCTCGCAGAGCAAGGGGCCTAGCACTGAGCCTGGTGAAACGAACGAGGAAGTCCTTTCCAGGTACTGAAAGAGCTATTTACTTTCACTCTTTGCCGCCTTTCATGCAAATTGCTGTGTAATAGAATAAGGGCGCCTTTGCTGAATCTATATGCTGTGAGTTTTGCTATGAGGAGTTCATGATCTATTGAGGAGTCCAATTTGCTCTTTTCTCATACGCCCATAGACTTCTGATTTTGGAGGTACAATAGTTTTTGGCCGATAATTTCCTTTTTGCAATGAATTTAGCTTCATGGCCGTAACATTACCCTCCTTTAATTCAGAAAGAAACATTTCGTTATTAATGGATTGGTTGAAGACTTTTTGTAATGTATCAAAGAAAATATCAGAATATTCCTTTAGAATCCTATTTGGACCCCTTATTTTGTTTTAGTTCTTGTAGTTTTTGGAAAACGTTTTCAGTTATAACCAGTTGGAACTGAAATTTTGAGGATGGTCGTACACTCTCCGCTATGAGCTTACAGTAAGATAAGACTGTACTTCCTGATGGCATACCTTCTGATGGCATACCTTCTGATGGCATACCTTCTGATGGCATACCTTCTCATGGCATACCTTCTCATGGCATACCTTCTGATGGCATACCTTCTGATGGCACACCTTCTCATGGCATACCTTCTCATGGCATACCTTCTCATGGCATACCTTCTGATGGCATACCTTCTCATGGCATATCTTCTCATGGCATACCTTCTCATGGCATACCTTCTCATGGCATACCTTCTCATGGCATACCTTCTGATGGCATACCTTCTCATGGAATATCTTCTCATGGCATACCTTCTGATGGCAATTTCAACAGGATATAGAAATCTCTCCGCAGAGATCATATTATCCTTAGTTTCAGTTATTCCCAATGGGCCGGCAATGTTAATAAAATAGTCATTAAAGATCTAAGTTTTTAATATCTAAGTTTTCGTAATAATCAAATTTGGTTTGTCGCAAGATTTTACACATAAGTACCCATATGCGCTGCGGTTAGATGCGATTCTTACATTTGTTACGCAGCTTTGATCGAAGCATTGTCCTTTTTTGTTAGGGTTTTTGTCATAATGACGAGTGCGTGTTCACCTCTGGTTTTGAATACTCAGTTTCCCCATTATTCATGTTACAAAGACTTTCCATGAGCGCCTGTTGGATCTATTTTCATCGAATTTGCGATAATCTCCTTTTAGGGGCACCTTTAAACGAAACTACTTTTCAATGTAGTAACAATCGTTGAAAAAAGTCCGATACTCCCGTTTTAACTGTACATGAGTTTTAAAAGAGGAAGATTTATCTGTAAGAATCAAATCAATGCATCTGGGATTATCTGACTCAAAACATGTAGGCACATTGCTTCCGTATCAAAATCGCCTAGTATTACAAAATTTTCATAGCGACTGCCGTAATGGTCTATAGTTTTTCCAATATGTAGGACTTTGACAAGAGGGACGGTATATTAAAAAAATCGTCCATTTTTTCTTGTGCAAATTATTTTCTAAGCTTCCATATTCAATATCGCCAGGATATTTAGAATCTGAGACGAGACACGCAGTAATACCCAATCTAACTTGAAAAGTGGTTTCGTTAAAAAGGGCCCCTATAATAAAACAGGCCCGAAAGTGCAGTGGGAAAAGGCAATTGGGATAGATTTTCCTTTAAGAAGCCTTTTTCAAAATCACAAAACTTTTAACAAGCTCCCTTTGAATAAGCCCCACCTTTACATGCCAATTTTTTCGCTTTAATAAGCTTCTGTTGGGCCTTAATTGAAGTGCAAAAGAAAAATCCCCTCTTAATAGGGAACTTTTAAGAAATTTCCAATGCTGGGTAACTGACACAAAAGGGCATTTTTCTTAACGTGACACAACTGACGGCAAAAACAAAAGGAAAGGGACCAGTATACACCAGTCCTTGCACATCAATCCTTACTCCTATGCAGTGAAAAGTCACATATAAGCCAGACAAAACAACGAGCGTTCAGATCTTGGCATCTTTGCAGGAAAAAGATGCAAGCAAAACTGTCAAAGCATTCGTCGTCGAATTTTCCCGCGAATTTCATTTCTTCGCTTTGCTGTAGTGCAAAAAAATCGAACAGAGCACTACGACGACATATCGTCCACGTTTCGTAATAATTTTTCAATTATTCAAAATTTCGTCTATCAACTTGATGTTCGGTTTAAACCTACTCTAATGAGTGTCTAGATTAGTATGCCTCAGGGGGCCTAATTCAAGGATTTACAGGATTTTGGGTCAGAACATTATGATAAAAATGATTTCGAACAAAGTAATCCATGTGCTCGGAGAAGCCCAGTGGTGAAGCCCAGTATGCTTGGGCACAAAGTTAGTTATCCATAATCTCTATCTACGAAGTTCCTTATTTTTATTTTGTTGTTTGTTCTCAGAGTGTTGTGGTGTTCCTTATCTCATTCAAAGAGATCCCTCCCTGCGGTATATAGTTCGTCAACATCTCTGCTAGGCAACATCTCAAGGGCGTGGAACAGATTAGTGATTGGTTGTGACAGCAGAAAGGGCAGTCTATTGGTCAAAAAGTATCCATGCCAACCGGAAGTCGACATTTGAGGGTATAAATGAACAGAATCGCGCTGTGTTAGCAGTTCGAGGCACAGAATAGAGATATTCTGTGTGGGAACATTGGTGCTAGGGCAGGTTTGGGCTGAGAACGCTGTGATCCTGTTCCAAGATGAAGGCCGTGTTGCTGTTTTGTGTCCTTCTTGGACTTGTCATTTCAATCAACGGTAGGTGCAGCCTTGCTTGCTATTATTTAGTAAAGAAACTTGCGAAGAAAGATCCATGCACTCGTTTAGAATTATTAAGATAGAGTTTTTGAACGATTTGATTTGAACGATCGTTGGTGGGGCTGTTGGATGATGCCTGTAAATTAAATGTATAGCTGCTATACAGTAAATAACCCCTGGCTACACTGGTAAGTGAATGGAATTTTGGTGAAAAGCGCAATGTTTTTTGTTAATTTTTCAAAGCAAAGACGCCACGCCAAACGCTCTATAATCTGTGTTCTTACACGCTATGTTACGTGTCGTATAAACCTTGATGCTGAAGTTTATTCCCAGACAATCATTGCTCAAAATACCCTATTTAAAGAAAGAATAGAAAGACTAGGTCAAATACTTTGCTTTGTAATACAAAGTTAAAACATCGTTTGAATATGCAGCTTTTTATCAAAGTGTTCACGTAAGAAAATTCCTACTTAGCAAATGCCATTGTGATCTTTTTAAGTAACAATCTTCAATAGCTAAGCTTACACCGGGATTAAATTAATCTTTTAGGTGCAACTGTCGAGGAAAACACCAACGAGGTGGCGGAGAAGAGTGTTCCGGAAGAGGTTGATGTAGAGGAAGATTCTGCAAGCGAAGAAGAGGAAGACCCAGAAGCAGAAGAGCCCTCTGAAGACGAGGAAAGTGATGCTACAGAACCGGAAGAGGAAAATGATGCTACAGAACCGGAAGAGGACACTGAATTATCTGAAGGTACTATAGACTTTTAACTTTTGGTCTATAGTTCTTGGCACTTTTGTTGAAAACGACAAGATATGCAAATAGATATGCAAATATTCAATTCGATGTAAGGCTGGGCCGATCTTTGAGACGTTAAAATCGTGATTCCGGAATTGTCTTGGGCCCTATT